AACAATGAATCTCAATGGCAGCAGTTACTCCCCTGCCCAGAATGTTTTAGAAGTTTGTGGGGGAATTTCTGGTTCACTTGAGGACGCTATTAGTATTCATAGGCAGGGGCCTGGGATACTAAACACCTTGAAATGAAATGGGTCACAGTCAATGGATTGTCCCATGCAACTTTGAATGTCCTACCAGATATTAACATGGGTGAAAAAACAATTTACAATTACCTGAATCTAAACCCTAACTCTATTGTACATATGAAGACAAAGTGCTTTATCATGGTAATAATAATAATATAGGAATGCAGGAAAACCGAGGAAAGAACTACTTTATTTTCCTCAGAACTCTACCAAGAGCTAGTTACTATTTTAAAAGACCATATCATTGACAGTAACACCAATCAAGATGTTTAGATCACCAATACAACATACTTATAATAGTCTGCATTTGTAGCTGCTACAATCATAATGATTATACATGCTTCTGACTACTTCATTATGTCACTGAGTATGATCACATCTAAGCATTTATATATTGAAATATAAACACTTTAGTTTTTAATTAATTTTATTCTCTTTTATATTCTAATAGGGCAGTATATTGATAATTTTTAAATTATGTGTGTAGATAGATTTCATCATCTATGAAATTTATTTCAGGATAGTCAAAGGGGCATCACAAGATATATGTTATAAAAAAGGGGCATTGGGTCTAATGTGGTTGAGAACCATTGACAAGACTGTTCCTGAGAATAAATCTGATCTATAATTACTGTTACAAAAATGGAAAATCTGTCCAAATGATTTTTATTCTAATAATCTATGCAATAAAATAAACTTTTAAAAGGTAAAAAGCACAGAATTAAAGTATCCATCAAAACCAAAGATGACAACTAGCAAAAATGAAACTTATCTCTATATTTGCTGTCTACACATTATCATTATAGATTAAGTCTTCACTAAGGTCCAACAAACACAAATAATACCTAAGCCTGTAATATACTGCTCCAAAAGCTCAGCTTTATAGTAAACTTAAAAAGAAAAAAAAGCTAAAATGTATTGAATACTTTATTACGTGTCAATCAATGATTTAAAAACTTTGTATTAATTTGTTAATGTTGGCAATAATCCTATAAAGTAGATACTTTTATGATTTCCATTTTCATGTGGCAAAGCTAAGGCTCATAGAGGGTAAGTAACTTGCTTAAGAACTCAGAGCCAGAATTCAAACTAAGACGGTAAAACCTGAGAAATCACCCTTTAATCCTTAATCCACTTACCTGCGACACGAGCAAGTCAGGAAACCCCTCTAGGTTTCATTTTTTTACAATAACAAAACTGAACTGCTGAAAGATTAAATGAAATAAAGTATGTGCTACTACCACAATTTACTGTACTGAATGCCTACTGCCACATTATAAAAGCTTAGTAATGGTAGCTGCTGTTATTCTAAGTGTATTCTACACCATTCTACAATGGTGACTACTCTTACCATTATACTCTAATTATTTTACTGACAATGCAATTTCTATCAAAATTCCAATATTAATATTTTAAAGGCTAACCATTTGTCTCATACACTAAATCTAGTGTCTCATACACTATATTAATATATTTGGCAATAGTTACTAATCATTTACCATGTGACTCAGCAACCCTGCTTCAGGAATTTATCCTCAGATATGCCTGCACATGTATGAAATGTTGTATGTACAAGGCTATTTAGCACAGAATTGTGTGTAACAGCAAAAGATCTTAAACAACCCAAGTGTTCATCAACAGAGGGCTGGCTAAATAAATTAAAATTATGTGCATACAAAGGATATTATGAACCTTTAAAAAAAAAAAAAAGGAATGAGGAAGCTTTCTCTGTACTGATGTGGAAAAATTGCCACAATCCATTGTTCAGTGAAAAAAGCAAAGTGCAATGAGGGGAAAATAGTCTTTTCAATAAATGGTGGCGCTGAGACAACTGGATATCCATATGTAAAAGTGAAGTTGGTCCTCTACCTCACATGGTACATAAAAAATTAACTCAAAATGAATCAAAGACATAAGTGTAAGAGGTAAAACTATAAAACTCTTAGAAGAAAACAAAGGCATAAATCTTCATGACCTTGGATGAAGCAATGATTTCTTAGATACTACTCCAAAAAGCACAAGCAACAAAACTAAATATAGATAAACCAGACATGATGAAAATTTAAAATTTTTCTGCTCCAAAGGACACCATCAAGATAGTGAAAAGACAATCCCACAGATGGGAGAATATTTTTGTAAATCCATATATCTGTTAACAAACTTGTATCTAGAATATATAAAGAATTATTACAACTCAATAACAAAAAGACAAAGACCCAATTAAAAATGAGCAATGGATCTGAACTGAAATTTATCCAAAGAAGATACACAAATGGCGTGAAAAGATATTCATCATCATTAGCCATCAGGGAAATGGAAATCAAGCCCACAAATGAGATACCACTTTGCACCCTCTAAAATGGCTATAAAAAAGACAGGTAATAACGAGTGTTGATGAGGATGTAGAGAAACTGGACTCCTCTTACATTGCTGATAGGAATGTAAAATGGTGCAGCCACTGTGGGAAACAGTCTGGCAGTTCCTAAAAATACAGTTACCACATTATCTAACAATTACATTCACTGATATATAACCAAGAGAACTGAAAAAATATACAGTTCGAAGATATTGCAGGTTCAGTTCCAGACCACCATAATAAATTTAGTACCATGAATTTTTTGGTTACTCATTGCATGTAAAAGTTATGTTTACACTATACTGTAGTCTATTAAGTGTGCAACAGCATTATGTTAAAAAAAATGTATGTACCTTAATTTCAAAACACTTCATTGCTAAAAAATGCTAACATCACCTGAGCCTTCAGTGAGTCATAATTTTTTTGCTGGTGGAGAGTTTAAAATATTGCAATTACCAAAATGTGGCACAGAGACATGAAGTAAGTAAATGCAGCTGGAAAAATGGAGCTGAACAGATTTTTTTGATGCAGGGTTGCCACAAACCTTCATTTTGTAAAAAACACAGTATCTGCAAAGCATAATAAAGTGAAGCACCATAAAACGAGGTATACGTGTATTCATATAAAAACGTGTACAGGCTGTTAAAACAAAACAAAAACATGAAATACTGATTCAGGCTACAACATGGGTGAATCTTGAAAACATTATACTAAGTGAAAGAAGCCAGACATAAAAGACCACAATTGTATGATTCCATTTAAATGAAATGTCCAGAATAGGCAAGTCCATAGAGCTAAAAAGTAAATTATGGGTTACCAGGAGGGAGAGGGGGAATGTTGAGTGGCTCCTAATGGCCATGGAGTTTCTTTCTGGAGTAATGAAAATGTTCTAGAATTAGACAGTGGCGATGGTTGCATAACTTTCTGAATATACTAAGAATCACTAAATTGTACACTTTAAAAGGATGAATATTATGTTATGTAAATTATATCTCAATTAAAAAATAATGACTGTGAATCAGCTATACTTGTCAGTTAAAACCATAATGTACCAATTCACAAATTTTGTGATTATCTGACATTTATGCATATAATCTCACATTTCCCTTTTCTAAGATGCTGGATGAAAGTAGTCTTTAGTGCCAATCTATTACCCAGAAGTATACAAACTAGAGTTTCTCAATCAGAAAGTGTGGTTTTTCCTTCAAGTAAAAGAAAGACTGAAAACACAAGTATTCATGACTACATTCATGATTAGTCTTAATACCTATATTTTTGACACTTTAAAAACTTCTGACTTAAAATAAATTCTGGAGTACTCTTGGGCATTCATACCAGAGAATGAAAACTTACATTTGCAAAAAAATCTGTGTGTTAATGTTCATAGTGGTCTTACTCATAATAGCCCCAAACTGTATACAGCCCAGATGTCCTTCAACAGGTGAATGGTTAAATACGCCATGCAATATTACTCAGTAATAAAAATGAACGAACAATCGATACATGCAACAACTTGGATGAATCCCTAGGGAGTTATGCCAAGTGAAAAAAGATAATTCCAAAAGGTTACAATATTGTATGTTTATATTTACATAACATTTTGAAATGAAAAAACTGTAGAAATGGAAAGTAGATCAGGGGTTGCCAGGGGTTAGGGATGGGGACAGAGAGGAGTGGTCATAGGAGAGGTGGATGTGGTTATAAAAGGGCAACATAAGGCATATCTGAGATGTTTAGTACCTTGCTGTGGTAGTGGATATACCAATCTACACATGATAAAACAGTATACAACACAAATGACTACAAGAAAAACTGGGGGCATTTGAATAAGATCTGTGGATTGCATCAAGGTCAATATCATGGTTGTGATATTGCATTATAGCTCTGTAAAATGTTACCACTGGGGAAAACTGTGTGAAGGGTAATCTCTCTGTATTATTTCTTACAACTGCATATGAATTTACACTTATCTCAATAAAAAATTTAATTAAAAAAATGGTGCGGGGCTTCCCTGGTGGCACAGTGGTTGAGAGTCTGCCTGCCGATGCAGGGGACGTGGGTTCGTGCCCCGGTCTGGGAGGATCCCACATGCCGCGGAGCGGCTGGGCCCGTGAGCCATGGCCGTTGAGCCTGCGCGTCCAGAGCCTGTGCTCCGCAACGGGAGAGGCCACAACAGTGTGAGGCCTGCATACCAAAAAAAAAAAAAAAAAAAAAAAAAGGTGCATATCAATGTATACAGTGTCCTACTTTTGGAGTAAAAATAAAATTGTATTTGTTTGTATTTACATAAAGAACACTGAAAGTGGTTATCTTAGGGTGGGGAGAAATGACGTAGGAACAAGACTTTCCAATGCATAAATGTTTAAAATACTTTTATTTTTGAACTATGTTATCATATTACATGTTCAAAAATAAGTAAAATATTTAAAGTACCTTTTGTTCAAAAAAGAGCTTAATTTAGTACACATTCTATTGCTTCGGAAAATGCTCCAATTTCAATTATCCATACCTCTAACCTCTGTGTCTGATCCTTGCCCAAAAGGTCACGAACTTCTTCATTATATATTTCCAAATAAGACACTCGAACCAAAAATCTGTAATAGAACATCATTTAAAAAAAAAAACAGTGAAATATTAGAACAGTTTTTTAAATGTGTTTATAAAATTTATACATCTTTCTTATGCTTGTACTTCTCAATATTAGAAAATATTAAGAATTCTCTTTTACCTTGTATCACCCTCTGCTTTTGCAATATGACCAAATATGTGAGCAAATGAATTTGGAATGATTCCTCTAAGTTCAGGAACAGCTCGAACACCTTCCATGGTAAAAGTTTTACCTGTTCCAGTTTGTCCATATGCAAAAATAGTCCCTGAAAATGATGAAGAGAATCAATCACTTCGCAGAGTCATGCTACAGACCAATAGCTCTTAAAATTAATTCCTTTGACATTGTGATGCAATTTCTAGCCTGGATTTAAAGTTTATTCTAGTACAAATTTCACCTTTATTATCAGCAATTACAAGATGTACTGTATGCCACATGAGCACAGCACTGTTAAAGAACTAGAGTCAATGAAATAAATACAAAATCTGACACTTTAGCTAATCATAAGAAATTTCTTAAAATGTGTATATTAATTACTTAATGTGGACGTTAAATTGGAGAAGGTAGTAAGTATAATTACAGCAAGAGAACACAGGTTCTAGAATAGAAAGACCTCAACGTGAATCCACATATCTGCCATTTTTCAGAGACTTGACCTTAGAAAGTATATACCCAGGGATTATCTCCTCAATGGCAAAATGGGGTAAGAATGAATACTCTACATTGATAGTAAGAACCAAATGAAACAATTTACTTCAAGTGACCAACATGACGCCTGGCAAATGGTAGTTTTTTTCTTCTTATTCCTAAAATAAGTACATTATTTCGAAATAAAATGTTTTAAGTAACAGTTGTAAGGAATAGGGGGAATTAACAAAAAAAGGTGACAATACAATTATTACAAGTAATTACAGATACAAGTTAAAATTTTCTAAATACCCAAGTTCATTCACTCAACAAATACTACACATCTGTGTCTGGCATTGTGCTAGGCACCGGGGACACAATGACAAACAAGACAAACACAATCTTTAATCTTATGATATGTCATCTTGGGGAGGACATACTAGCCAAATAATTATAAGCAGGATGAGTGGTGGGAAATGAGAAACACAGAGTTCTAGATGAGAGTAAGGGACATAATCTGGGCAGGAGAATTGATGAAGGAGGAAAGGGGAAGAGGTCAGGGAAGACTTTCCAGAAGAGGTAAGGTTTAAGATACGATCTGATATATGAGCAAGAGTTAGATAGGAACAGAGTGGACAGCCAGAGGCAAAAAAGAGAATGGAGATTTTTAAGAAATGTAATGAGACCAGAATGGAAGAAACAGAGATGGAAAAGGACAGTGGATGCAGATATAGCTAAAGAAATTGACAGGGGCCTAATCGCACAGGACGATGAAGAACATCTTAAGGCTTTTAGAGCTTATGCTAAAAACAAAGTGAAGCCATAGAATGATTTTTCAATCAGAGGAGTGACATCATAGTCACTTCGGCTATACTCTATACAAAGAAATGGAAGAAAGCAAGAGGAGACCTGAAGAAATAAGTTAGAGGGCTGAAGTAGTTAGCCAGATGAGAGATGGTGCTGACAATAAATAGAAGGGGATGAGAAAGGTAGAAGGATTTCAGAGATATTTAACAGTAGGATGTCAGAGATATTTAACAGTTAGAATCAAGAGGACCTGGAAAATAACTAGTCATAAGGGGACCAGGGAAAAGGAAGAATTGAGGGTGACTTTCAATTTCTGGCTTGACCAAAGGGATGTATGGCTATGCCATGTACTGAGATGGTGAACAACACTAGAAGAAATAACAGTTTGAAAGGGAAGATCATGAATTTAGTTTGGGGGTACTGAGCTTTAAGTCTACAATACACCCAAATGGATGTGTCAAGCAAGCAGGAGGATGGATGAGATTCATTTGCCACTGAAGCCATGGAGGTGGATGAGATTTCTCAGGAGACAGTATAGTATGAGAAGATAGCCTAGAAAGTGACAGCATAAATGAAAAAGGTTTCTCAACTACTACCACTCTATTCAGTTAACAACAACTTGTCGTCATTTTTGGACTTTCTATGAAAATAAATTAATCACAACAGAAACCATTTTTTACATGGGAATAATTAAAAAGTCTTAATTTTTTCTAACTCACTAAATATTTCAAACTCTTGCATTAAGAATATAACTTACTGCATTCCAAGGAGCTGAAAATATCAGGAACTCATATACTGCATTTTAGAAAAGACACCACAGCTACCATTTACTGATCATTTGCTATGTGCTATGTCATGTACTTTACATGCATTCCTATTTAATTTTCACCCCAATCCTAAGAGCTAGGCAATGTTTATATTCCCACAGTTTAGTTGAGGAAACAAAGGCTTAGAAAGGTTGACTTACTTGCTCAATGACATAGTAAGTGGTAGAAACAAGATCTGAACACACTCCAGTTGGCTCCATAGCCCATGTTTTTTACCAGTATGTAATGACCAAAAAGAAATTTGAGCCCAAAATTAATACCTAATGCATTAGGTATTATGCATGCATTAATGAATGCATTAAATATATGAATATTACTAATTTAAAAAGGATATTAAGTAACTAGAGAAAGAAGAACAAACAAAACCCAAAGTTAGTAGAAGGAAAAACTCATAAAGATCAAAGCAGAAATAAATGAAACAGAGAAACAAAACAATAGAAAAGATCAATCAAACTAAAAGCTGGTTCCTCTGAAAAGATAAACAAAATTGATAAACCTGCAGCCAGACTCAACAAGAGAAAAAGGGTGAGGGCTCAAATCAATAAAATTAGAAATGAAAAAAGAGAAGTTACAACGGACACCACAGAAATACAAAGGATTATAAGAGACTACTATAAGCAACTATATGTCAATAAATGGTCAATCTAGAAGAAATGGATAAACATATAACCTTCCAAGACTGAACCAGGGAGAAACTGAAAATATGAACAGACCAATCACAAGTACTGAAATCAAAACTGATTTTAAAACTGCCAACAAACAAAAGTCCAGGACCAGATGGCTTCACAGGTGAATTCTACCAAACATTTAGAGAAAAGTTAACACCTATCCTTCTGAAACTCTTTCCAAAAATCGCAGAGGAAGGAACACTCCCAAACTCATTCTATGAGGCCACCATCACCCTGACACCAAAACCAAACAAAGATACCACAAAAAAAAGAAATAGGCCAATATCACTGATGAACGTAGATGCAAAAATCCTCAACAAAATACTAGCAAACTGAATCCAACAATACATTAAAAGGATCATACACCACGATCAAGTGGGATTTATCCCCGGGATGCAAGGATTCTTCAACATCCACAAATCAATCAGTGTGATACACACATTAACAAACTGAAGAATAAAAACCATATGATCAGCCGCCGATTCTGGAGCTGAGGTCGCCACTGCAGCCACCGATTCTGCCGCCGCCGCCACTGCAGCCACCGCTGGAGGAATGGGCTTGGGAAGGAAGCGGTCACCACGCCTGGAGCTCCACTAGTAAGTGTCTTTGTCCCCTGCAGTCCTCCCACGTGAATGACCATGGATAAAAGTGAGCTGGTAAACTACAGAAAGGTAAACTCGCCAAGCAGGCGGAGCGCTACGATGACATGGCTGCGGCCGTGAAGGCAGTCATGGAGCAGGGGCACGAGCTCGCCAATGAGGAGAGAAAACTGCTGTCTGTTGTTTAGAAGAACATGGTTGGTGCCCGCCATTCATCCTGGCGTGTCATCTCCAGCATCAAACAGAAAACAGAGAGGAACAAGAAGCAGCAGCAGATGGGCAAAGAATACTGTGAGAAGATCAAGGCAGAGCTGCAGGACAGCTGCAACAATGTTCTGGAGCTGTTGGACAAGTGCCTTATTCCCAATGCTACACAACCAGAAAGTAAGGTGCTCTACTTGAAAATGAAAGGCGATTATTTTAGGTATCTTTCTGAGGTGGCATCTAGAGACAATAAACAAACCACTGTGTCAAACTCCCAGCAGGCTTACCAGGAAGCATTTGAAATTAGTAAGAAAGAAATGCAGCCTACACACCCAGTTCAACTGGGCCTGGCACTTAATTTCTCCATCTTTTACTATGAGATTCTAAACTCTCCTGAAAAGGCTTGCAGCCTGGCAAAAACAGCATTTGATGAAGCGATTGCCGAATTGGACACACTGAATGAAGTCTTAAAAAGACAGCATCCTGATCATGCAGTTGCTTAGGGACAATCTCACTCTGGACGCCGGAAAATCAGGGAGACGAAGGAGATGCTGGGGAGGGAGAGAACTAATGTCTGTCATGCCCTGTGATCTCTTCAGTGTCACTCTGTACCCTCCACGTATATCCCTTTGTGCAATTAAAAAAAAAAAAGAATCGTACGTCAACTTTCAGTTTTTCACAGCCTCAGTCTAGCAAAAATGGTCCATGGGATAAGCAGCTGGTATTTGTATCTAAAACTCAGATTGGTCACATAAATGCCATGGCATTCTGAAGTTTTGATTTTGATTAACATTGACAGGAATACTGTGTGTTTAATTTTTTAAAAAAACAATACTGTGATTATGGGGTTTTGTAATTTAGCAGCACTCTTACTGGTAGAAAACAAAATAGACCTGAATTATGTGTAACTTTTCGTAAAGTTTAATTCAATTCAAAACAGTCACTGAAATACAGTTCCATTGTAAAGTTGTACAGAAAGTTATAGAGATTATATTGTGACACTGGGACTTGGAGTGAGAAACCTCCAGTTTGGCATTCGAGTTTCATGGTAATTCACAGTGATTCTGCCTGTTCTGTTCAGGGCTTATAGACACTTGACCCGTTGGGGCTGCTGCCACTCAAAAGTTCATGACTGCGGATGGCCACAGTGTCTTCCTCTGAGGAAAGTCGAAGCCAGAAATTAACATCCTTGGTGGCAGATAACTGGGTTATGACACCATGCAAAGGTCCAGTGCTCATAGACCACATGTGACTCCAACCCCTTTCCTACAGCAGCATGTTACTGACTGGCAGCTTGCGCTTCCATAGTGGAATCTGTTTTCCCTGTAACCACGAGCTCAAGAAGGAAAAAAAAAGCCATGTATCTTACTAATGGCCTTGTTTCCTGGGTAACGCCTCTAAGAATAATGTTCTGCAGAGACTGCCTTTCACTTGAGGAGTAAGTACTCAGTCTTTGGGTTCTTTAAATTTTGAAATCTAAACATTCTTTCCCGCTGTCCTTTTTGACTGTTGATTTTGGTTTTCTCTTCTCTC